TCTCTCACACACACACACACACACACACACACACAGATACACACACACACACAAACACACACACACACCTTGTCCTCCCCAAACTTCTCCTAATTCTTTTCAGTACGAAATATACACTCATCTGACGTAACTGTCGCAATTCTATCGTTCTTAGACCAGAACGGACCGATCACGCCCTCGCGAAGCTGAACACTTTGAAGAAGTAAAGTTTTGTTTTACTTAAAACTGTGATTGAAATTTTCAAAACTTGATATTTTTCGAATGCACCGATCCACTTGGGTCTACTTCATATTATTTATTTACAAACATGAAGATGAATTTTATTTGTTCGAAGTTTTGTTAAAATTAGTACTTTTCTTTTGGACACCCAGAACTTATGACAGAAAAAAAAGACAATTCGTACCACCGAGTTCCCAACGGTTGTTTCTCAGGAAGTTCAAACCTGCGCCGCTGTCACCCTGTAGAAAAAAAATAAATAAATAACGCCATCACCATTATTGTGAACACAAATGTGAGGCAGCGTGGTGGAATCAGGCTCTCGTTAATTTTTGGGCATGTAGAGTAATTAGTGTCATCTTTAAACTTGTTCTCTTGTCTTTATTTGGATGAAAAAAATATCCATTAGTCTAGAATACAAGTCGAGATATTTGCGAATAAAGGAGGTGGGGGTCACCTGTTGTCAGAGGTAAAATTAGAGAGAAAATGGCAGCCAAAGATTAATTATTTCCTTAACATAAAAGTCCGTGGTAACTGAAAATTTACATTTTTTGCACTTTTAATCAATGTTTTTCAGAAAAATCACTCAGAAATGAGTTCGTTAATGGGAACGAATGGTGTTGCGCCAAAAAACAAAAATTACATAAAAATTCACAAACTTGCGGAAAAATGCAAGTTTCTTCATTTTGATTATTTTGACGAGAGTCTGATTCCTCCACGCTGCCTCACAAATTATGTCTTGTGGTATTAGGGAAATGAATAGGACATAGTAAAAATTTGTTTGGTGGTCGTTGAAAAGTAGGCCTATATAATTTTACGACGTTAAGTTTCTTTTTTTTAAAATAGTTTTTATCGCCCGTTTAGATCTTTTTCCAGGTTGAATTTTTTTCCCAGCAGTAGAAGATTTGGAAAACATTTGAATTTTAAAAAAATAATTATGATCTTAGCGTTCAACAAAAGCAATATTCCATTTCTATCTTTTGACAACCTTTATTCATCGTAAAAACGTCTCTCTCTCTCTCTCTCTCTCTCTCTCTCTATCTATATGTCTATTTGTCTATCCACAGATCAATCTGTAGCTGAGTCTGTTCGTGTGTCTGTGTATGCGTGTATGAATGTATAATCCGTGTGTATGAGTGTGTGTGTGTGTGTGTGTGTGTGTGTGTGTGTGTGTGTGTGTGTGTGTG